GCGCGTGCCCGCAGGAAGCGCCCTGCGGCCCCGTCCGCCTCGCCTGCCGGGCCCCCGAGGGGCAGGAGCGCTCCCCTCCTCCGGCGTCATGCTGCGTGATGGCGTAGCAGCCCCAGGGCTGCCAAAATGACAGCTTCCTTCTTGCAGCCGAGCTCCCGACCCGGCACCCACGCTCCCCGGGGAATGCCTCTGCTCCGACCGCGTCCCCAAGCGGAGGGGGGAACGGCTCCCGGCAGGAGTAAAGATTGCTAGAGGGAAAAGGTATCCAGCCCTTGCAGGGGGCTCTGCAAGAGGCTTTAGAGCGATGGGGTTTAACCACAGCCCGTTGAAACTGGACAGACGGCGGATCACATCTAACGCTGTGGCTGATGTCCCTCGCCAGCAAGGATGTGCTCTCCGAGGGGGCGCTTGTGTTGAACATGGCGCTCTGGCAAAGCCCTGGAGGCTGCTGGCGCCGGCTGGGCTGCTGGGGTGGCACGGGACAGCGGGCGCTGGTGTTGCCCAGCTCTTTAGCCGGTGAGGTCCCTCCACCGAGGGTCCCTGCCAGGCCGCTGCTCCCCGCGAGCAGCCGACCGCTCTGTATTGCACGTTTCCCAGCTCTGGATGAGTTTGTTGTATAGGAGTAGGGGTGGGAGGAGGAGACGGAGGGAATGAGGGCTTTTAAGCAAAGGATCTCATTAGTTACTTATATGTGCCAGTTTCCATAGTAACTGAGGAGAAGAGGAAACCTAAATCTGACTGTGTCTGGGTAGCTGGATGTTTGAACCCTCCACAACCCGCAAACAGCTGCTCTGAAGCCTGGGGGAGCTAAGGGGGTCGGGGAAGCCGCCGGCCAAGGGGTCCAGGCTGTGCCTGGAGGTGGCACGCGGTCGAGGCTGCCCCACGGTGCTGTTTTTTTGAGTCCGCTCGGGGGAGAGGAAGCTGGTTCAGGCCTTGGTGTCGGCACATGGATCTGTGGAGTCCTTCCTCTCCTCCTTTTACTGTTCCCTGGTGCAGGAACAGACACAGCCAAGTCCCCTCTCTAATCCTGCCGTGCACCAGCACGGACGGGTGTCCATTCAAGTCCATCGCTGAGGCTGGCAGATCTCGGTATTTGTAAGTGCAGGCATGAATCAGAGCTGCATATAGGCGCTTTAGGTGCTGCTTCCGCCGCTGCAGACTGTGCTGCTGTCGCGCTCCTCAAAACAAATATGTTCCTAATCTTTTGGCTTTCTGTTCAAATTGTTTTAAGGCCACTTCTCTCCCCTGGTTTCTGTCAAGAGTACCCAAGCCACTGATAACGGACTGACAAATGACAGGATGTTCCCTCCCGGGGGCCAGCGCTGGGCCCCGGAGAGAGGCAGGGGGGCGAAGAGCTCCCACCCGCGTTGCCTGCAGGGGTGCTCCTGCTGAGAAGATGGGCCGTGGCCCTTCCAAAATCGCCTGCTGCCCTGCTCGGTGTTAACTAGCACATGCAGTCCGAGCAAAAGCACTTGGAGCCTGAAAATTAAATTTCCTCCCCTGTTGGGCATCAAGAACGCCCAGGCTTTAACAGTGAAGTTTACCAGGTGTGGCAGTGCTTGCACCTTGTCCCTGGGCTTTCCACCCAAGGTGTGCAGCGTGACCTGCTGCCATCGCAAGGCCGAGGCTAGCCTTTCTCTAAGCTGTGCTAAGAAACCCACCGGCTTCCAGAGGCTTTGGTGCCAGATGCTGGGTTTGACTGTTATTTTCTGTGTATTTGCTTCTATTCTTGTTTCTCTGCAAGGTTCCTTAGAAATAGCATATATCATGGTTACATCCATATATTTGTGCAGGTAAAATCACGTCCTCTGCAAGTGCTGAGGTTGTATAGCATGTTAAAACTGTATCACAGCCCTTTACTGTCTAGAGAGTGACAGCTGTGGGTTCTTTCCTCTTTGGGTGATGGTCACAGAAAAAGGATTCTTATTAGCCTGTGGGACGTTGGTGGGCTAGAAGTACCTGTGCATGAGAGCGAGGGAGGCAGGAGAGGGCTCTTCTGGTTGGGATGGGACCTCAACCTGGCACCCAAACAAGCCTTAGGCGGGGGTCTCTGTTCTTCCCTGCCTTCGTCTTCTGATTTTGGCTGCCTCCAGGTTACCCTGCCTGGGTGTTCTGGGGGGTTTAGAGTACAGCAGAGTCTTGTTACCCGCTGAACTGCAGGATCTTGTCTCGATTAAAGGCAGTAAATCCCCTGCGATCCGGAGCGGTGAGCAGTAAGTGAAAGCCCTGCAAGAAGGGTGAATATTTACCGGGGGATCACAGGTTGAAAGGAGAGAGGCTGAGCCTGTGGAAGCAAATTGGAATTTTTCTCTTCGTATCGTGTCTGCTCCTGTCCCCGGAGAAAACTCTGGGACAGAAGTCAGTGCTTCCTTGTGTGCTTGTATCCTGGGAATGCTCCCCTGGGCTCTCCTTTCTCCAGATATGATGAATCTGAATTAACAGATGTGTGTTTTTGTTTTCCCCCCCTTCTCTCTGAAGACACTGTCTCCAGCAAACTGCAGAACAACAATGTCTACACCATTGCCAAGAGGAACGTGGAAGGTCAGGACATGCTCTACCAGTCCCTGAAACTCACCAACGGCATCTGGATCTTGGCTGAGCTTCGCATTCAGCCGGGGAACCCGAATTACACGGTGAGACCCGCCGGACGGCAGAGGGCACGTGCGGCAGGTTGGGCCCTTCCGGCAGACCTGGCGCGTGAAGCGGTTGCTCCCTGCTTTGCCTAACGTGCTTGTCTGGGGCAGATCCTGATAACTTGACTGGGGACCGGAATTCCCACTGAACTGGAAAAAGGGAGAAACAACAGAATTAACGTTGCTGTTACCACTGAGCTGGGATAATGCCCGCTCCGCAACAAGCACTTATTTGCCAAGGTTACCCGGAGATAAAGCCAAGAGACATTAGCGAGAGAGCATTGCCAGGAAGCCCTTCCCCCTCTAGTATTAAACGGGACTAAATTTATGCCCCGCTGTGCTCCTGCGATGGAGACCGGCTGTCTGGACATCCGAGGCTCTTTGGCCTTGTACCAGTATCAGTCTCTAGCTGGTGGGAGGGCACTGTCTGTCCCACATCATGCACCTATATAACTATTGCCTTTCACTTTGTTCCCCTTCTGAGGACCTGTGTATTTGACTTGCCATTCTTAAACAATTTCTCTCCGGCTGGAGGCTATTCCAGGAGTTTCAAGGGATGCTTATGGTTTAGGGACCCATATGGTGAAAGCAAGTGATGGAAAATGCTTTAAAATGTTGTTTTCTCAAGGAATTAGGTCCCCTCAGTCATCCGGGCCCAATCCTCGCTTTAGAGAGGGGAGAAATCCAAGTTTGCATCCGTCAATGTCAAACAGCAAAATTTTAGAAGTAAATGTGCTCCCAGACCTCCTGCTGTCTTTTACAGCCCAAGGACAGGCCGGTCCCTCGTCACAGGTCTGGGCAGTGCCCCCTTCCTTCATGCCTACGGAGGTGGCTACACTGGTTAAAGAGTTTGGGAACTCCACAGTGGGAGTTTGCTTGTGTGTCCTGCCTCTGCTTAGAGCAAGCTCTGAAAAGGCAGAACCAGCTCGGTTCGATATCAGTAACGAAGAAAGCGTGCCAGTACCCAGAAGAAATCCTCTGGGTGGCTTTGTCAGCAGCCACGGCCGTGATGCGTCCAGCCTACGCTGTAGGTCAGAGATTTCCAGTCGTCTTTGTGGTGAGGCGAGGAAGTCCCTCCCTTGCTTTGGCAATGCCGAGCCCAGCACCACAATTGGGGAACCTGCTGGCGCGCAAATAAAGCGCTGCCAGACTGCGGTGAACGGGCCCAAAGCAGCCAGCCGGCTTCCCGTCTCAGAGGCACGTAGCCGCCGCTTTTCCCTGGTGCCTCGCGCGTGCTGACCTCCGCTCTCCCTCTCTCCGCAGCTGTCTCTGAAATGCCGCGCTCCTGAGGTGTCCCAGTACATCTACCAGGCCTACGATGCCATCTTGAAGAACTGACGGGAGCTCGGTCTGTGCCTCAGCCTGCGGAAGGAGGAGGGAGCAAGGGGTCCCCCGATCCTCCTCCGCCACGGGCGCGGGGAAAAGCACTCTACCTGGAAGCAGCCGTATTCATGTGTAGGAGTTCAGTCAAACGCACTGATTAAACAAGGTAGCAATTAGTATCCACGTGCTAACGATGATAGGGAACAAACCCCTTTGATATTTTTAGCGTCCATGGAAACTTTGTAACCACTGCTTCGACTACTGCCCGTCCCCCCCTTGCCTCTCACTCGTTGTCCGTTCTTGTGGGCTTCTCCATTTTGTGCCAATGTTCAGTGTTTTCTAAATGGCTTTAGGCATAGTTAAGATTTTGTAAAATACTGCTCGTTGGAAGAAAAAAAAAACAAGCGAAAGCCACACATCTGCTCATTAAAACAAGGCAAAAGTGTCGAAAACATATACTGCACTTTATTTTATATTTTTATACATTTTTGAGTTTTTTTTTTATTGGAATTGGCTTAAAGGGAAAGCAAACCTAGGGAAGCGTTGGGAGCCCTGCAGGGAAACTGGGCTCTAGCAGGGTGAACACGGCCTCGAAGAACCAGGAACGGAGCCATCGGTTTGGTCCGTGGAGGCGGACAAAGTCCTAAAGAGAGGGTTTTTTATTACGCTTGTGCTGGCAGACTTGACTCTTGTTTTTGATGATGTGTTTTTACTCCAACCATCTCCCTGGCTCATTAGCTGCTGATTTGAGAAGCGAGGCTTTTCGTGCGGGGGGAGGAGCGGAGGACCTAGACGGGACAGCAGAGGATGAAACGAGGAGGGAAGCGAGCCCGCTCTTAGAGCGAGAGGCTCGTGCCAGCGCGTGAGGTACGGCCGCTGCGTCCTCACTCACCCCGAGCCCCTCTGCCTGCTCTTCCCCTGTGCCTGCTGCGGCCGACCTGCCCTTTCAGCCGTCCCTCGGGCTGTGCCAGCGCTGCCCTAACCGCAAGAATCCCCCAGGCTCACGGTGGTAAATCTGAACATGGCGATGCTGCTCCTCCGTTGGGGCCGGAGGCATCGGCAGGGGCTCAGCCGCTGCTGGCAGGGTGCTAGGGAGAGCCAGCCCAGCTCCCCCCGTTCCTGGCTTGCCCACCCAAACCCAGGCTGTGTGGCATGCTGGGGGGCAGCCCGGGCTTGGCACTGTTTGCGCCCTGCTTCCCCGCGTGCTTCGGTTCTGGGGCGAGCTGAGGGTCGAGCAGACCCTGGAAGCGATTCTTCCCTTCCCAGCTCCCAGAGCTGGGTCTTGGCTTCCTGGGCCCGAAGGCACAAGTAAACGCGGGCCAGCCAGGGTCCCCCTCTGAGCCCCCTGCCCTGAGCTGCGCGGTACCCCGACCCCTCGCTCCCTGCCCCTCCGTAGGGCCAGGACTGCTTCCCCTTCCCATGGCTGTGGCATCACCAGGTTGCAACCGCTAAGCACTGCGCCGGCAGCAGCGAAAGCAAAGCCTCGTGCATGCCCCTGCTCCGGCCATTGCTTGTGCTGCCCAGAACGGCTTTGCTCCCCCCGGCGTGCTTGGTTTGACACTGTTTCCTCCCAGCAAGCAAAGCTCTCAGCTATAGCACTCCCCATGTTGTCTTTTTAGATGCCATATCCAAGGTCAATAACTTTTTGTTTATTTAGGGTGGTGGGGGAGGATGATAGTTGCTCAGGGCTCTGAGCAACTCGGGGCCAGGGGAGACCCAGGTGGTACAGACAGAGCCCAAGTGAGGGTTGGGATGGGAGAGGGCAGGATAAGGGCACCTCCATAGCAAGGCTTGAAGGTTGCAGATAAGCAGCCAAGGCTGGGAAAAGGCCAAAATGCCCTGTTTATTCAGCCCTTCCCCTCCCTGAAGAAGAGAGGAGGCTCCATCAGAGCTGGGAGCTGCAGGACCCCAAGGAGATGGGGTCCCAGTGGAGGCATCCCTGTGCTCTGGCTGGGGAAAAGGCAGGGCAGAGCCGGAGGAGCCCTTGAGCCCTGCCTGCCTGGGCTGGGAGATGGTTTACTCCAAGCCTTGCCAGGAGTACCACAAAATTCATTATTAGAGCAATTAATGAGGTGCTAGTTCACATTGAGGGTCACGGAGGGAGGACAGGGATGGTGCAAGGCTGCGTCAGGAAACAGGGAGGAGGTGGCAGAGGATTGGAAATGAACCCTTAAGTCCCGTTCTATTAAACTATGATGTAGTTCAACCTGGGGAGGATGCAGAGCACCCCCTTGCTTTGTCACACTTCTTCCTGGCCTTGTTTTGGGCACATGGGTGTCTCTAAGCTGCAGGTAGGGGAGCTGCAGGGCAGAGCCTGGGCTCGTTCGGTGGCATCTTGCTCTCCTCGTTTGGTTGTTTGCGGCGTAGTTGTGTTGCTCTTCAGGCTTTACCTGGCATCCGTCTCAATAAACCCATTTCCACGAAGCCGCGGCTGTGGTGTGGCTCTGTCGGGGCTGGGGAGAGGAATTGCTTTCCCTGCTCACAGCCCGCCAGAGGGAGCGGGGGCTGAGGCCTGGGTTTGGTGAGAAGAGGACAAGATTTGCTCCTAAGGAGCCCTTGATCCCTCTCTATTTGTCCTCTGCTTCTCCCAGAAGAGAGGGCCTTGGTCCTTTCTTGCTTGCTCCGCTCTTGCTCGTCTCCGAGGGCATGAGAAGAGCCTGACTGGCAGGGGCACCAGCGCCTCGACACGGAGAGCCTCCAAGGAGGAGAGGGAGGAGGACGGAGGTGCCCATTTAGCCAGTTCTGGTCCCCAGGGGGAAGGTGTAACGTGACCTGCTTTCCCGGAGAGGAACCGATAAGATCATTTGTTGGGTGTGCGATGGGTTTGGATTGCTCTGCACCAGTGTTCTCCATCCCAACGTGCTGGGGTCTGCCAAAGGGCTTCACTGCTGCTGCTGCTGGTCCTGTCTCGGGCAGGGCTGGCTGGGCTGCGAAAGCTCGGTCCTGGGCCAGAGGACCATCAGCCAGCCCCAACCCTTAACCTGCAGTGACCAGCAACGGGACAACACGAGAAACAGGATTAAGCAGAGTGACCTTTTCCTTCACCCTGACCAGCTCTGCATTGGGCATTAGGTGATACCCCAGTGCGCGTTGTTTCTCCGGGGCCTGGGGTGGCAGGTATCGGCACTTGATGCCCTGCAAGGGAGTGTTTTTGCATTAGAAAGCAGTGTATGTGGTCAGTGGCCACAGTGAGGGGCTGGTTCGGGGTCACCCGTGCTGCCGTCGCCTCCTTTCAGAGATTCCTGACATGACTGGGCTGTTCCTGGGCGTCCCCCTCCCGAGCCCTGCTGCAACTTGCCCCGGCCTGGGGACTTGGGGCTGCACAGCCCTGCCTCAGCCATGCAGCCTGCTGCACCCTGCTCTGCATCGATGTCCTCAGGGCTCTCCGCTGTCACCGTCAAATAACGGAGCTGGAAGGTATCTTTCTGTTTTGTTGTTTGCTCGAGAGGAGAACCCGAGGCAGCTGCAGCACCCTGCCTTCCCGGCCGGCGGCCTCCTCTGCTGTGGACCTGGTGCTGGGTGGGAGAGAGCCTTGGGCAGCGCTTGACACCCCTTAGCCCAGCAGGAAGAAGTGCTCCGCAATGCTCTGGGCTCTGCGTTGTTGCCACCGTCTCCTTTGTGTCCTGTGGGCGAGACAAAGGATTTATCCCTCCTCCATCAGGGGCTCCCAAGTGAGGAATAAGGTTTTTTTTCCTGCTGTTCTGGATTTGCGGGCCTGCTTGTGCCCAATAAACGGGGCCAGGCTGACCCTGGGCCACGCTGCACCCTGCGAACCGGGTTTGCTTCCCTGGGTTAGCGTCAGGCCTTGGGTGCTGCAGGCTCAGGGGATGCGAATGACCCTGCGGTCACCGCGGCCTTCCCCAGCCCCTGCTCCCCGCCGTGCCCGCGCCGCGGGGCTGGCACCTTCCCGGGGTGTCTCCCTGCTGGGGCGTCTGGAGAGGGG